TTCGCCTAAGAGGGGGGAGGAGGGGGAAGAATGATCTCCCCCCGACTCGGACTCCCCCCAAACCTTACACAGCCTCCTCAACCCCACCCCCATCACCCTCCTCATCACCATGCCTCCGTCAAGCGCCCGAGGCAAGCGTGGAAGCGCAGCGGGTCTGGCATCTTTCAGACCGTGACGTCGAGCGTCGCCTTGACAGTCTTCCAGTCGTTGTGCTCGAGGCCGTCGGTCCAATGTCCGTTCTCGACACCGCCCTGCCACGTCGTGACTGTCAAGAGCGCGTCCGCAACGTTCTCGTGCATTGAATCGAGAGTGGTCTTCACAGCGTTCCCGATTGCAGCGTCAGCAGGCCCCGCCAGCTTGGCCAGGAGGTCAGTGACGCCGTGCGTGGAACCGATCTCGGTGAACTCGGCGAACGCGTTCTTGGCGCTCTTGTTGACGCGATGCAGCTCATCCAGCGCCTCGCGATCTGGCGGGGCCAAGCTCATGGTCGCATCACGAGGCGAACCCACGAAACACACGGCCAGGCGCGTCAAGCCATCGTAGCACTTCGCCGCCCCACGGTACATCTGCAGTGCCTGGGACTGCTGGTCAGCGGGAATGTCCATCATCAGCAGGTCCTGCGAGTATCCCAAGTTCTGCTTGAGCTCGTCCGTTGGCATGGCCAAGCCCTCGGAGCAAAACAGCGACACGCCATGCAACATGAACTCGTCGATCTTCTGGCAAGCGTCCATGAATAAGTTCACGTCCTCGGGGCGCTGGAACTTCAGGCCATGCGAGCGCTGCATCACAACTCCAAGCTGAGACAACGTCTGTGTACTCGCCTCCTGGGCGACCTCCTTGACGGCCTTCACGAACTCATCCAGGGTAGCTCCCGCCTGCACGCTCAGCAAGATTGTGGAAATGTCGGTCATCCACTCCGAGATGTCATTTAAGAATGGGAAGCTGTCTGACGCAATGGCCAATATCTTCTGGAAGGCCTGGACGTCTTTGACGATCGCTTTGCCATCCGCGTATTTGTGTTTCGTCGCAACCACCTCAGCTCGAATCAGATCGACAAGCATGTCCTCCAGAGGTTGCATCATGCCGTTGACCAAGCCCGCCTGCAAGCGCGGTACATTGGGAAGCACCTTGCTCAAGGCAACAGCTCGAGTCTCATCCGTAGCTTCCGTCATGTCGGCTCTGCACCTCTGATATGTGGGTCCGAGCTCGCTGGTCTGGCCGACGGACCTGCACACTGCATTGAACCTCTTCAGCCACTCGTCGTGGCCCTTCAATGCGTCGAGAACAGACCTGAAGATCTGGCCTTTGCCCTGGTAAACCTCGGGCGAGTTTGTGAAAGCGGCTAGCTCGACGTCCTCGGCCAGCAACAGGTTCGGATTGAGAATTTGGTACACGAACGTAATGGTATCCATCATATCGACCAGACACGACAACTCCGCCGACGGCACCTGGGAGGACCACGGATGGACCAAATAAGCTCGCACCTACCAGACAAGTGCCATCCCCGTGCAGCTCCGACCCCCGCCTCTAGCACCCCTGGACCGAGACGATGATGCGGCTGGGCATAGCATGCTGCATATGCGTCGCAGAGGCAATCGCCAGCTTGGGTGCCGAACGCTACGCCCGTGCGATGTGGCTACAGTAGCTATTGGTAGCGAGGCGCGGCTATCATCGCTGTGGCCCGACCCACGCGCGAGGGAAACAAGACGGCTAGCCGCATGATCTGGCAACGTGACGCACGCAGCGAATATTTGGCGGACCGACCCAACGCACGGGATTGCAACGAGGCGGCGCGGACGGTAACGCTGCGAAACCTCGGCGGACCCACGCACCGCGCGAAGCGGCATCGGAAGGGCAACGCGGCGGCACAGGCAGAAGCGACAAGTGGCGAATTCCCGCAGGGCTGTCTCAACCCCACAGAGATCACAGCGAACTTCCAAATTGTCAGAACTGCAATTGCTTAGCCACCGATCGCGCGATGCGGCAAGGAGGCGGCGCCAGACAACGAGGCGAATTTTAGGCGGACCACCCGAGCGAACCATGCGGCATCGAACCTCGATGGAACGTCGGCGGCAACGCGGCGAAACCACGGTGGACCCATACGCACCTTCAGAACGCGAAATCAACCCTTCAAATCACACCAGCCCTCTGAACGTGAGTGGTAGGTAACCCGTTCGATGCACCCCCCCTCTTCCACTTGCGGGCACCCCTCCCCCTGCCCCCATCCCCTTGGGCCTGGAGGGGGAGCTCCGCTGGCAATTGAGGGCCTCCTATGCGACCCCTGGGAGGGCTATTCTTTGACACCCATCGCAAAAATCGCGGCCTCCAGCGGAGGCAGGGGGGTGCCATCGACGCCGTGGCTTCTCATGCCAGGTTGTCTTCAAGAGACGCCTCCGGCCCTCCAAGACGACCCAATGTACACGCGCCCAAGATCTTCGCGCAAGCTTTTCGAAGGAGCTCGCGCGAAGCTTGTCGAACCACCCGCACGAGCCAAGATGAGGGGAACGATGGGGAACACGGGAGATGAGCAGAAGGGAAGGGGTGCAGCCAGAAGCAAAAGAGGAGGAGAAAGCGGAATCAACGTCCGACGGAGAGCGCCATTCGTTGTAGTGGGTATTGTTGGATGGGCTGGTGAGGATTCGCAAAGCGTGAACGATTACAACAGCTCGCGTGCGCCATTGTCATCCATGTACATCATGCACGTCACTGTACATGTTATACTTCTGGCCCTCCTGTCCCTCCATTTTTGTCGGGTGGGTGAGGATGAAGGGGGGGGTGGGGGAGGAGGGGCTGAGGGAAGAGCGTGCCAGTGGCGGTGGGAGAAGGCAATACGTCCACCGCAACAGAGTGGGCGAACGCGGCATCCAAGCACGCGGGGTGCGGTGCGGCCAGACAACAGGCGAGCCCAAGACTTTTTTGGTGGACCTGTGATGGCGGGGGCAGCCAGGAGAACATTCCCCTGGGGGAAACTCCGACACGCTGACCTGAATTGCGACTGGTCGCACCTGTCCCATGACGGGGTTATTCCCAGCAGCCGATGGCACAACCCATGTCGCAACTAGGCGGCGGTACGTTTTCGGGTGCGGAGGTGCAACCTACGGCGACTCGAATTGTTGGCCTTGTTCTCGGCGAGCGAAAATACAACTTACGGCAGAACCAACAATAGACGGTTTGATTATCGGCGGCCGTCCGCGCGCGCTTTAGCGCAACCAACAGGAAACTGTGTTTTCTCGACGGCCGATGGCGCAACTCATGGCGCAACCAATGTGGGGTGGGTCCCCGACGGGCAAGGACGCAACTTATGGCGCAACAAATGCGAGCGGTGGCATTCTCGGCGGCCGAGGGCGCAACCTATGGCGCAACCAACGCGATGCGATTTCCATCTCGGCGCGGCGCAACCTTTGGCGAGCCATATGCGAGACGATGTCAACCTTTGCGGCGGATGACGCAAACTATTGCGCAACCGAGGGGGGACTTGGTTTGATTTCGACGACCCAGGCACCCGCCTATGACGCCACCAATGCAGGCAGATTTCGTCTCGGCGGCCGCGGGCACAACCCATGGCGCACTCAATGTGCGGCTGTCTTATTCTCGCCGAGCGAGCGCGCAACTTCTGGCGCAACCCGCAGGATGCGGTTTTCTTCTCGGCGGTTGAGGGTGCATCCGGTTGGCGCAACCAACGCGATACTGGTCCATTATCGCCGAACGGACGTGCAACCCATAGCTGGACCAACACCACGCGTCGTTTTCATTCTCGGCGGCTGAAGGCGGACCCCATGGGCAACCAATGGGGCGCGGTGCGATCCTCGGCGGCCGAGGCGCAACCTCGAGCGCAACCAACGAGAAACCTTGTATCCCCGACAGCCGTGGACGCAACTTCTGGCGCAACCCATGCGTCATGGTTGTAGTCTCGCCGACCGAGGGCGCAATGCATGGCGCAACCCTCACGAGGCGGTTGCAATCTCGGCGGCCGAAGGCGCACACGTTGGCGCAACCAATGCGGCGCGGGTTTCGCATCGGAGGCCGAGGGTGCAACCGTTTGCCCAACCAGCGATGCACAGTTGTACTCTCGATCGCCGAGGGCGCAACCCAACGCGCAGCAAATAAGGGACAACGGTTCTTTTCGGCGGCCGAGGGCGCAACCTCTGGGATAGCAGCCAGGGGCGGTTCACGTCTTGTCGGCCGAGCTCGCAACTTATGGCGCCATGAGTGCGGGGCGTTGTGCTTTTCTCAGCGGCAGGGGGCGCGCCCTGTAGCGCGACCAATATGCTCTGCGGCCGACAGCGCAACTTCTTGTGCGACTAATAAGGGACGGTTATGTTCTCGGCGTTTGGCGGCGAAGCCTATGGCGCAATCAGTTGGAGGCGGTGGTAGCTTCAGAGGCCGAAGCCGAAACCCATGGCGCAGCCAACAGGAGATGACGTGTTTCTTTGCTGTCGATGGCGCGACACATGGCGCACACATGCGAAATTGTTATATCCTCGGCAACCGAATGACCAACAAAAGGCGCGATGAACGCGATAATGCGTTTTTGTCTCGGTGGGCGAGGGGGGTGGGGGCAACCAATGGCACGCCAACTAGAAGACGCGTTCCCGCGGCGGCTGAAGCGGAACCTTCAGCGCAGCCCAATAGGAGAGCGTTTTATTTCGGCGGTTGAGGGCGCAACTTACGGCGCAACCAAGTGGTTGCAATTTATTCGCGGCGGCCGATCGTACAACCTATGACGCACCCGATAGGACGCGTGTTGGGGTTCTGTTGTTGAAGACGCAACCCGCAGCGCAACCCATATGAGTGCTTGTCCCCCTCTGCGGCCGAGGGCACACCATATGCCGCGCCCAGCGGGGGAACTGTCGCAGTTCCGTCGGCAACGGGGGCGATTGCGTCGGCGGCGGCGGCGGCGGCGATGATGGCCACCGCCACCACGACGCCCAATGCAACGATGGGCACGCCGACGTTGGGAAATGGTTAGTTTCCCAGCCCAGAGGGGGGAGGCGGAGGAGGACATGCCACTCGGGAGGGGACCCCTTGTCGAGCTTGCCAGCAGGGCGTCATCTCCAGGAGAGATCCTCTCATCGGTGGCGCCTTCTGCGCCGTTGTTTCAACCGAAGGCGCATAAAAAATGACCGCGGTCATTTTTATGCGGCTGTCATGCTAGGCTGAGATCGGCCTTGGGTCAGTTGGAGTGGGCGGGCCACCGACACCTTGGTTGCGCAACCTGCGTCGCAGGCAGACCCAGACATGCGACGTCCTGAAAACATCAGGGCAGAGGTTTTGGCAGTTTCTTCGGCCTCCTGGATCGTGCGCATTGGATGTTCAATTCTTGCGCATCGCGATGCGGCTGCCACCCTAGCAAAGCGTGTTTTCGAAACGTATTCCAGCAAGCAAGGAGAGGCGCCAACTATAGGACCACGAACTAAGGGGCCCGAGCGACTCACCCCGACCGAGAAGCGGGGGGCCCGAACGACCCACCCCCGACCGAGAATTGAGGGGCCCGAACAACCCATCTCCGATCGAGAGCGGGAGGCCCGAACGACCCATCCCCGACAGAAAAGACTGGCCCGAACGACCCACTTCCGACCGAGAGAACGGAGGGTCCCGACCGACTCACTTCCGACCGATAACTGATGGGCCCGAACGACTCACCTCCGACCGAAAACGGAGGGGCCCGAACGACTCACCCCCGACCGAGAATTGAGGGGCCCGAGCGGTTCATGCCCGCCCGCACCCAGGGAGTTGGGTGGATTGCAGTGTCATTGCAAAGCGTTGCATTGTCATTGCGCGCTTCCGATCGGGAAACTCGAGGCGCCATCTTGGGACTCTGAAGGCCCTTCTGGGAGACTTCTTGAGGCTCATGGTTGGCCTCCCCTCCGAGATCGAGGGAGCCCGGAGGGCCGCCAGCACCCTACCCGCCGCCCCCAGAGGCGCATCCAGGATAGCCTCCCGAAGGCCCCTGATCACATTTGCGATGTCCCAGCCCCCTCCCCATACATGGCGGCCCGACCCAACACTGTAGGGCCGAAGATTTGCCTCCGAGAGGCAACGCCGACAGTTCTGACGATCACACCGCCCCCAAAATGGCCCAAAGCGGTTCGCAGAAGCCACCGAGGCACGGCAACAATGGCCCGCGAGGCCCTTACCGAGCCACCAAGATAAGCCATGAAAATCGCGCCCACCCAAAACAACATAACACATCCAGAATCACCCCGAGAAACCACCAGGAAACAACCGAGAAGCACCACTGGCAACAATGCCTTCAGGATGCCTCTGAACGACAGCGCAGGCACGGCAGCGGCATGAGCCGAAGGTCTTAGTTAATATGCAAGCGCATGTGCAAACAGGATTTGTCAAGGTTCACGGTTCGCTGATGTTCCAATGGCTCACCTCCATCTCAGCTTCCGCGACCTCCATGCAGAAC